TAAACAGGGTCCGGAAATTGAAGTAGGCCATCAGGCAAGAAACCAATCCGTTTTTGTCTTATGTACAAAAACAACTATCACCAGCCGTATCGTTTAGCACAGTCCCACAGCTACCAGCCAACAAAGAAAAACAAAACAGTGCCACCACATCTCGGTCCTCGGCGTCTTGCTGCTCTTGGGGGTAATGACATTGGCATCATCAATCTCTCAATGCCGTGCATCTGTATCTAGAGCACAACACATGCACCAAGTCAAGAACACCACAAATCCCAGAATTTACAAAGGAAATACGTGAAACAAAATGCCAAGCAGATAAATTGGGTGTCTTGTTCTACTCTATTGATCAATCACGCAATTTAGAAAGGAAATTATTCTGGATATATCATGGCAAGAATATGATAAGAGACTCCGTATTATTTGGGCATGCACTAACACTAGTAGAAAACAGGGCATTTGTCCCGGTTCGTAAGGGCCTTTAGTCCCGGTTCTTGAACCGGGACTAATAGGTCGTTACTAATGCCTCCCCCCTTTAGTCCCGGTTCTTACACGAACCGGGACAGATGGGCCTTCACGTGGCCACTGCGAGCAGCCCAGGCGGGGGCCTTTGGTCCCGGTTGGTGACATGAACCGGGACCAAAAGGTTTCCACGTGTCAGCAGCTGGCTGGAGCTGAGGTTTTTCTTTTTTTTTTTAAAGGTGGCTGGTTTAGGGGTTTTGGGGGTTAATTTTTGGTTGTTATTAGCTAGCTAATAGAGAGAAGTGTCCTCTCTTATATCTTCGTCCTTGGTTTACCAACACTACTGCTATGTTCTTTTCACCCGCTGATATATAATAACTCATGCATGCTTACATCATACATCATCATATATAATAACAAGTCCTACTAATCATGCATCATCATACAACTTCTACTCGTTATTAATAACAAGTCATACGATCATCATCCTCATAGTCATCGAACCCAACCCTACATAATTGTTCTTAGCACATGATCATCAGTATCAGGTAGGACCTAAACACCCTTAAGATAAAATAGCATAAAACAATATAGACCCTGACTCTTCATTATGAAGAATGGAGATCATCATGTCTCCAATTCTTGCGCTTCGCCTCCTTTTGCTTCCAAGAAGCTCTTTATGACTATCCATATATTTTTTTCATTCTTTGATTGTCATGTCTCCACTTCTTTTAGAAATCCGGTATGGACAGTTGAGATTCGTAGGCACTACAAGAAATATGTCAACTTGTGACCACCACTATTGGTCACTGAAAGGTCATGGTTTTTCATTTGCGACTTTTTTGTGACCAAAAACAGAAGGTCAAAAGCTGGCGGTCGTAAACTGACTATAGCGACCTTTCTTCTGGAATGGTCGAAGACGTTTATGACCAAAATATGTCCACTGTGGCGTTTTGGTCACTAGCAACCTCCCCAGGCCACGTAGGCATCCAGCATGGCAAGCTGATGTGGCACAAGATTCAGCCCGGTCCAATTCGGTTTTCTACATGGGCCTAGCCCAAGAATTCAGCCCATTTAATGTTATTTTTCTTTTTAATTCTGGTCAGATACATGGGCCTGGCCCAACAATTCAACATTTTTATTTTTTGGGCCATTACTATTAATTTTCTATTTTCAGCCATATTATTTTTGTGCTGGCCCCAGAAGTCAGATTGGTCCCACTTGTCATGCTGATATCAGAATTGGACCCACACGTCAGAAATTTCAAAATTTGTCAAACAATTTTCATAAATATGCCCCCCTGGTCAGGTTTCCATTTTATAGTATTGAAGTTATATACACAATCAATATTTCAAACAGACTAGAGCGAATGAAATTCATCCAAAACAACACTAAATATTACAATACATTATATGCTACTCTGACTAATATTACACTCTGCCTGATATTACAATACATAATATGCTACTCTTGCTGATAGGCTTCACGACTTCGCACTTCATACTTCACCTATGAAAAAAAGAAGAATAAGAACCTATAGGCAGCATCAAACATAGCTTATAAGCAAGAATTGACAATAAGCTCAATTTAATAACACAAGATTTTGATATATTTATACAGTTCACAAGGTCAGCTGACTATTAACGGCTTTCCCATAGATTACAAACAATTATGTGTACAAGGCAATTCAACATTTAAGTTGGAAGGTGTTCAGTAGCAAAATAGAAATGGCAATACACAACTAAATTGGCTATTAATACAGCAAGCATGACATGACAACAGCTGCTTGATAGATTTTATTAAACATGTATGAAGCAGCAGCGCACATAGACAACAACAATATATATGAAGGATTATAGATTGCATAACTGGTCAACTAATCTTCCATCTATATTTCTATCAGCAGCACACTAGATAGGCCACACATTTATTCCTATAGTACAGTGAGGTAAAAAGAGATTATGGTACCTGCCAAGTGAGGTAAAAAAAGATTATCAGCAGCACACTAGATAGGCCACACATCTATATTTCTATCAGCAGCAGACTAGATAGGCCACACATTTATTATAAGAATCCACAAGCAAACCCATCTCGCAGCACCACCAGTTTGAATGAACAGACAGAGGCGGATGGGGGACGGAGCAGAAACGAAACGCTTACCAGGAGACCTGCTTGACAGAGCCCTTTGCACCAATGCTTGCATGGAGCTGGAGCATCACAGACATAACAGTAGCACTGCACATGAAAAAGAGAACAGCAACGAGGCCACATTACAAACGCTCTGTTGTCAACTCTGCTATTGTAATCATATTACAAACAGGATCATATTACAAACGCTATGTTGTTAACAGGATCATAAGCATGTGTATGAGTAAAATCAAAGAGGATAAGAAGATATGTTTAGTTACAGTCTTACAATTGATGCTTTGTAACTACAGATAACTAAAAATGAGTACAGTAGATGTACAGAATTTGTAGGCTCCATTTGTAACTGCAGTACTCCTTTCATTTGTTCAAAATTTTCAGTAGATGTCACAGTAGCATGATAAAAATTTCAATTGAAACTAAAGATGCAGTACACTAAATTACTCAAGCCTTGCTAAACAACAAGTCTTACAGTAAACAACAGGATACCAGGATCTATGTTAGTAAGTGTATGCAGCTCAAGGCAACAGTAATGTCAACTTAACATTAATACATCTTGTTCAAAAAATGAAAAGCAGACTATAGTGCAGCAGTAACCATGAGGGCTTCCTTGTCCACCTGGAGCAGCAGCAGCTTGTACAGATCAAAGCAACCTGCACCCAAAGAAAACACACGAGGAATCAGCGAATCTGAAACCCATCAGCTCCCACAAGCATGTGGCGCCGCTGCGCCGCACCGGAGTGCCCCCGCCCCCTTCCCCCGGTCCTCTCCAATGCCATCTCCCCTACCACCGCCGCCGCCGGGGGCTTGCAAGCAAAGCCTGTGCGCCGCAGCGGTGGCGGCGGCACTTCTTCTCGGCCAAATCCGGTCAGGGGGGCGGCGGTCCATGCCGGACGGACATATGGCAGTGGCGCGGGGCACCTGCGCCAGTTTCGCATGCAGGTGGCAGCGTACGATGATGGGTCCTGGGGCGGCGGCTTGGGTCCCCGATCTGATCCCAGATGGGTTTCGGCGGGCCGCACAAGGTACTGTCGTGTACCATCCCTGTTCCGTCAACGGCATGCTTCCACTGGGCTCGACCTGCAACACGAGGACGTCGGGGGCTCTGACCCTAGGGGTGGCGGTGACGACCACCTTCTTTGCCGGAGGTGGTCGGCGTGAGGCTGGGTGGTCGGATCTCATGATCCGTCATCTAGTCCCGGCTGCGAGTTTGGGAGACATAGTTGCCGGTGAAAACCGAGTTGGTGGGCGATGGCGGCGTTTTGCGCCGTTACCTTGATGAAGGCATCATTGTGTAATTGTTGTCGACCCACTCGTGCTACTTCGGGGGAAACCCTATGATCTGGTCTTCCAGATCAGACGATGGCGGTATCGCGGTGCCGTTTCTCTTTTAGGAGCATCGTTTGTGGAGCAGCGCTGGAAGACGGAGGCAGGAGTTGGAGCGGTTTCGTCTTGCATGGAGCTTCGGTGGAGCTGTCAAGTCATGCCTGGCCGACAGGTGCTACACTTAGTTATGCCTAGTTGGTAGGTGCTACGCATGACAGATCTTTCAGAGTCTTCGCATCTGGATAGACGAGCACAGGGCGGTGGGGCCGTTGGGCGCTGTGGTTGCGTCGACGGAGGTCCAGACTAACAAGGATGATCCAGATATCCTCCTGAAGATGGGTCGGTGGTCGGATGGTGATGGCAGCTTCTAAAACGTGTGCATGTGGTGTGCGCTTTAGGTCTGTTGCACTGGTTGTTGGTCCCGATATGTTATGTGGATAGATCGGCGACGATACCGGTTTTAGATATGTGGAGTGAGAGCACTACATCTTATCGAATTTGTAGGTGTGAGTGGTGGCTTCGGGTGGATTGATATATGTTCTTGTCAAACCTTTGTGAAATAATTAATAAAGATGGTTGCATGCATCGACTGATGCAGAGGCCGGGAGTTTAATCTTCTTTTCTAAAAGAAAATATCAGTTAAAATTTGTGGCTCCGCCTTTGTCCACCGAGATTTATTTCGGGCACGATCCGAGCTGGCTTCGCGATGATGCGCCCTTCTCCCTGGTTGGTCTCGGTGTGCGATAATCCTGATGAGGCAGCGCTTCTCGTTGCCCGATCAGCCGGTTTTGTTCTGGTTGATCTGGTTGTTCCTCATCTCAGTAGTGGCCTTGGTCGTCGACACAGGACTAGTTGCTCGAACAGGCGGTCATGCATCCGTCGGTGGTAGTAGTAAAGTTGTTGGTCGTAGATGTGAATAGTGCACATGGAGGATGCGTGGCAGCGTCTGCAAACGTACAGGGTTGGTGCAGCTACCGCACTTATAATGGATGGATCGCTGATAAACCTTTGACGCTCTTGCCAGCTCAAACTACGAATGCATTGTGGTTTCTGACTTGTGAGGTGGCAAGATAATGGGCGTGGAGGAGGAGGAGGAGGTGAGGGTGGTGGAGTCCAGCCTAGTTGCGGCGAGCGACGAGACACCGCCGAAAAGCCTCTGGCTCTCCCAGCTCGACCTCAAGGCCACTAGACGCCACACGCCACTCCTCTGGTTCTACCGCTCCGGTGATGGCGTCCAAGCCACCGACGGCTTCTTCAACGTTACCAGGCTAAAGGCCGCTCTGGCCAAGGCCTTGGTGACCTTCTACCCGTTGGCCGGCCGCATCGGCGATGACGGTGATGGCCGGGCGGAGGTCAACTGCGGCAATCAAGGTGTGCTCTTTGTTGTTGCTCGATCGGAGGACCTCACCGTTGCTGACTTTCACGGCCGACCATCGTCCAAGCTAAGGAGGCTCTTTGTTCCCCGCATGGAGCCGCCAAGCATCGTCTGCGGCGTCCAACTCACCTTCTTCAAGTGTGGCGGAGTGGCCATCGGACTGGCGGTGCATCACTTCGTCGTCGATGGAAGCAGCACGTCCCACTTCACCCGGACGTGGGCTGCCATTTCCAGGACCGGTGACATGTCCGCCGTGGAGGCGGAGCCCCCTTGCCACCATCGCTTCCTCCTCCGCCCCCGCTCCCCGCCGGCAGTCCACCCCGATGCTCTCTCTGTGTTCTGCCCAATGGTGAACCTGTGCGAGCCGTCGGGGGTTCCTCTCAGGTCCGAGGCCTTCGTCGTCTCCAAGGACCAGCTCGAGGCTCTTAAGCAGGCATGCGGTGGCAGAGCCGTCAGCACCTTCTGTGCCTTGACCGCCCATATCTGGAAATGCGTGTCCGCCACTCGGCCCATGCCGCCGGACGCCACCACACGCCTCACCTGCCCGGTCAGCATCCGTCGCAAACTGGCGCCGCCGCTCCCGAGCGGCTACTTCGGCAATGCCGTCATACGCGTGGGAGTCACCAGCGAGGTGCGTGGCATCGTCTCGGAGGAGCTGAGCTCCGTGGCCAGACGAATCAAGGGAACCATCGGGCGGGTCGACGACGAGCTGGTCCGGTCGGCAATCGACTATTTCGAGCTAGCAGAGAGGGACAGCCGGCCGGCGCAAGGCAGCTTGCCGACGACTGAGCTGAGGGTGGTCAGCTGGCTTGGCATGCCGATCTACGACACGGACTTTGGATGGGGGAAGCCGGTGATGATGATGCGTGCCGAGTCTGAGGGCAGCGGCCGTGTCTATATGATGGACGGTGACGGAGACGGCGACGGCGACGGCGGCAGCGTGCGCATCATCGTGTGTCTCGAGGCAACAATTATCAAGGAATTCCACGACATGCTATATGCCAAGTTTAGTGACCTAATCCGGTCATCACTGTGAGATGTATGTCTAACTATATACAGTACGTCTCTCTCTGTGTCCACATGCACTCTCTCTTTTAGCCAGCTTGCAATAATACTAGAGGCTAACGCGGGCATTGCCGCGCCGTTCTTCACTCTGGGATTAATTCTTTTATATCTAGTCGATTATTGTGATTGGATGTTTTTTTTGGATTTTATCTGTGTTGACTTGTGTTTTAATTATGTTTAGAAACTGTTTTTTCGTTCATATATTGTGTCAGATTGCTGTTGGAGATTGTATTTGTTCCTAGAGAAGAATGAAATTGTTTGGTGCGTGGTTGTGGTGTATTTACACGTTTCGGCCTTGGTGTCAGTCTATAGTGGTCGTTTAAGCCTCTTGAGAGCTCCTATTCCATGCTAAAACCATGGAAAGTGTTGCTATAACACTCACATATGCCAGCCCACAAAGTTCATGTCCGCTCGGCTTGGCTCCATGCTCTTGTTGCTCACTTAGTTTTTCTCGGTCGCCTAATGCTTGCTAAGAAAAAAACAATGATCATTTCCATTTGAAAAAGTTAGCTTAATTAAAATATGTTCAAGGAATATATCACGAATTCTAAAACCATTAATTTTAGAAAAACAGTCACAAACTTTAAAACATATTCATGGATTTAAAAATCACAAATTAAACAATTTTTTGTATTTTAAAAGTGTTCACAAACTTTAAAAATGATCGCGAACTTCAAAAATATCCGCAAATGTAATGAATATTAGTGAATCTAAAAACTGTTTTGTTTTTAATGTTTACAAATTTTACTAAGCACATGTGAATTAAAATATGGAAAATAAAATATAAAAGGAAAAGACAAATAAACCAAACAACACACAATCTTACAAGTGGGGCCCTCACCGACCCCATAACCTCGGAAGCACCACAACGCTTCAAATCATGAGAGCTTAGTATCTCTATAGATAGCAGTGTCCCCCGCACATACATGTACGAGCAACATTTCACGATAAGTTGAGGCACAAAAATGGCACTTTGCTCTAATTTTTTTGTCATTCAACGGAAATGGGCAAAACATAAAAAGTACAAGCATACAAACAAACATAACATAAAAAAGAAGGCACCACCGGCACATGCATGTACGAGCAACATTTCATGAAAACTTTCGCAATATACAAAAGAACCTTTTTTTTCTTTCTTTGTTGCACGTCAAAAGTAACAATAAAAATAAAGATTGTTTTTTCTTTCTTTGTTGTACGTCAAATGTAGCGCTTAAATAGGTAGACGCTTTTCCTAAAACAAAAGTAGAACCTCGAGCTTAAGGGAAGGAAGGGGTCAGGCAAGCCAGTTATAAAAGCAACAACCCAAGCCTACTGGCCTTAAAACTAGGCGGTCGTAGTGTAGGCAGGAGCGTATTGGGCGCCTGGCCAGGGTGTGTTTGGGTTGTGCTCAAGGTTGCTACGTCTAAGCATTGGCTAGCCAAAATTTTGGTTAAGGTTTTGGTTACTCATGATTTAGCCAACATTGGCAAAAAAAAAATGAACTAGAGTTGGCTAGAGTTCATTAGCATGCCAAAAACTTGGCAACCATCCAACAAAGACCAATCTTTGGGTCATGCCTAAAATTTTGATAAGGTGCACTTTGACCACAATCCAAACACACCCTAAAAGCCGTCTGATTTTTGTCTACATAGATGTATTCCGGCCTAGAGGGGCAGAATGTGAGATTTGACAAGTTTTGTCATTTTTACCTAAATCTGGGCCGTTTTTAGGCAGATGCCAAGACTTGGCTGGCTCTTGTGCCTGAAACCTGGCTGAGTGCCTATATCAACTTTGTGGGCTTGGGTGGGCCTTGGCTTTCCGTCGAGCCTTGCCTCGTCTCTCATCATGAGTGGCGGAGGACGGAACTTTTTTAAGGTGGGGCGGACTCTAAAGTAGAAAAAAATATACCACTAAGATCATAGGATTGTAGATTGTCAAGCATACAGAATCAACACAAATTATCGTAATCATCACCTCCCCTCCCCCCACTCTCTCTCATAAAAAGAGACAACTAAATTCTCTGTCATCTCCAAAAACTGGAACTAATTTGTCCCCAGTAGGTCAAGAAGCCCCTACGCTGGCGGCTAGGGTTTTTCTCCTCTGAGGCGATCTGATCGCTTCCGAGTCCGGTTCCCTTCGTTCATCTCCGGCCTTCGCCTATAGCCCCCGACGCCCCCCCCCCCCATCTGTAGGCAGATGGCGTCCCTCTCGGATGCGAACTCTGCAACAAGCGGCGGAGTTCCAGGATGTCGAGATCGATGAGGATGATCCTGAGATCAATGAAAGCGTCCAGTGGCTGGCCCTTGCTAGGGTTCACATGGACAAAAACTTCAACCCATCGGATTTCTACAAGCATATGAGGGCGGCCTGGAATCCAGCACAAAGCGTGAGGTTTCGCCTGATCGGCCCCAATAGATTTGTTGTCCAAGATGTGCTTGGGTGATTGGGAAGGCATCATGCATCAAGGACCTTGGCCGTTCCACAACTGGGCGATGCTCTTGTGCAAGTACGACGGATTCAGCCGAGCCGAGAACATGGTGTTCGTTCATATGCCTATTTGGCTTCAAATCCACAAGCTGCCGGATCCATACTGCAAAAGGAATATTGTGGAGAAACTACTGAATGTGCTGGTGAGATTTTGGAGATGAGGTTAAACGGCAATACCCGTGGTGACTATGTCAGGGTAAGAGTGAATCATGATATTCAGCATCCTCTCACAAAATTTGTTAGTATTGTCCGTGCAAAGGAGCGGCAAGTTTATTTGGTGCGGTATGAGAAGTTGGCTACGTTTTGTAAAGTATGTGGTCTTGTCGCCCATGAGCACAAAGAATGCGGTCTGGGAATTCACGATGAGAAGAAGCTAAAGTACGGTGATTGGCTGTATGCGGATGCTCCTAATCAGCCACGGCCAGATGCTAATCCGGCCAAGGCAGTTCGCCCTCGGCCATCGGGCGTTGTTGTCCCAGCCGCCCCGGTGGAGCCGGGGCAGGATAAGTTCGACCCTGAAATTCTGGATACGGCGTCTAGCTCGGTGAAGAATCCTGGGGTCATGATGGAGGTGGACAAGGAGGTGAGGAAAATGTTAAACTTGGACCTAGTTGGGACTGAACAAGGTATCACCTCAGGAACACCGAAACAATTGCTTGCTATCACTAATGGCAGTGGGGGTGATTTAGGGGTGGGTCAATCGCCTTCGAGCAACACCTCAAGTAGTAAATGTTTGAAGCTCGCAGTGGATACAAAGAAGAATGAGATATCGGCGGCCTCCCTTGAGGAGGGCCGCCGGATGCAATGAATATCTTACCATGGAAC